CTCTCTCTCTCTCTCTCTCTCTCTCTCTCTCTCTCTCGTCGTTTTGTTGTCATGGTCTTACTCCTTTCTGCTCCTCCGTCCGCCTCCTCCTTCTCCATGTCTGCGTCCTCCTTCCGCTCCTCCTCCTCCTCCTCCTCCTCCTCCTCTTGGTCATCATCATGTACTTGCTATAACCTCCCCCGCTCCCTTCCCTGCTCATGCCACGTGGCACCCTTTTTCCTTTTTTTTTCGGATCTTTGTTGTCATGTTCCTCGTCTTCATCCTCCTCCTGCTCCTCCCCGTCCACGTCTTTGCCCTCCTCCTGCTGCTACTCCATGTCTTCGCCCTCCTCCCCCTCATCTTGGTTGTTGACATGTACTCACTATAACCTCCCCTCCCCGCCCCTACCTGTGCCACATGGCCTTTTCGTTGTTTTAAACCATTTGCAGTACTTTGTATAGCAGGCTTTTTCTTTTTTTTCTTTTTTTTTTTCTTTTTTTTTTAAAATCCGGACATGTACACACGTCCGGACATGGATCCGGACAGGCCGATCCGGACATGTCCGGATTAACCGGAAAAGACCGGAACTCCAGACGTTCGGATGAAACCGGGAAATCCGGTTTCCGGTGTCCGGTTCACTTGTCCGCCGCTGCCATGGTTTTAGTGTCCTGCCAACGAGGCAGGGCGCTTTCCATGGACAGCTGACACTTGCAACCAACGGGGCACCCTCACATGTACTCGAGATTCTGTATCCAGCTGCTTTTATGTCCAAAGAGTTGTTGCTGTTTTCCATTTTTTTTTTCCTGTACAGCCATGTTTGCTGAGGGCTGTAACGCCGGTTGGGAGGGCATAGGGCCTCGCTCCACTACTCTCTACGAGCACAAAAGACCAAAAAAAATCATGGCAGTGCATCTTTCCATGTTCTAGCGAAAGATTCACTCACGTTTTGCACATTTCCAGAGTAGTGGAGCGAGGCCCATACTCTCACTTGTGCCCAATGTTCTGTATCCAGCTGCTTTCACGTCCAAACTTCCAAAAAGTTGTTGTTGTTTTGAAGTTTTTCCCTTTTTTTTTTTTTTTTYTTTTTTCCTATTGCCGTGTTTTGCTGAGGACCTTTGGCAGAGCATACTCTCATGTGTACCCAATGTTCTGTATACAGCTGCTTTCACGTCCCTAATGTCTTTCCTTTTTTCTTTTTTCTTTTTTTCTTTTTTTTTCAAAATGGTCCGATGGACCACGGATCAGATATTAAACTGATAAGAACAGATACTACACTTGATCTTAGCCAAAAGCCCAAGAAAGGTATTTCCTTTTCTTCGGTTCTTTTTTTTTTTTTTTTCCATTTCCGACGGGTACTAGAAAAGAGAATACAATGGGACCTAGGCTCAGCAAAACTCTGTGCGCAGTGAAATTCAGGCTCGACAAAAACAGGCTTGGAGGTAGTGCTGGTTATAAAAATAAAAATAAAAAGGGTAGGCCAGGTATGGGCAGGAAAGAATCAGGAGATGACTCCCAAAAAAAAGAATTACTCCACAGAGTCCCCACAATGACATGGAGACTGAACTGTAGGGGGGTTACCCAGCCCATGTGGCTGAATGGTGCTCCCCCCATGTAACTGTTGATGAACAGATCATGAGTTCGAGTCCCGTCCGAATCGGATTGATACAGTAATGTTAGGGATTACTACACCCCTTAAAAAAAAAAAAAACTGATGAGAGGTTGACGATGATTACCGAGCAAGACAGAAGACGGATGATGCAGCCGTTTGGCTGTTGGTCGACCCTGACGAGGAGGACTGGGCACACTTCTAGCGCAAAGAACTTGAGAGTATGAACATAGCACCGGAAGGTATTGTCATCCACACGCTCAATTCGCTCTGCATCCAGCACAGAGTACTGGCTAGCAGGGAGGGCCATGTATTCAGCTGCACCACATATAGCACAATAGCACGGCAAACACACAAAAAAAAAAAAGTGCGGACCGAAGCTGTCAGATCTGTTTGTGAGAGGCAAATCACTGCACTGCAAAGAGCGCACACACACACACACACACACACACACACACACACACACACACACACACACACACACACACACACAGCACAGAGCTATTTGTAAGTCGTGAAGCAGCTGCACCATAAAACACACATAGTACTACAGGACACAAACATAGCACAGAGCTGATTGTGAGTGGCAAATCTCCTGCGCCAAACATAGCACACACATAGCACACACATAGCACACACATGGCATGATAGTACACAAACATCACCTGCACCACACATAGCACACACATAGCACGT